TGAGACTCGGTCTCAAAAAAAAAAAAAAAATTATGGCACTATGTAATACTTGATAAGAAAGCACTGTGTCACTAGTTTATGTATTTACTATATCATACTTTTTACAGTTATTAGATTGGTGCAAAAGTAATTGCGGTGATTGTTATTGAAAGTAATAGTAGAAATCTGCAATTACTTTTGCACCAACCTAATATTTTAGAGTGTACTTATACTTATTAAAAAAAGTTAACTGTAAAAGAGCTTCAGGCAGGTCCTTCAGAAGGTATTCCAGAAGAAGGCATTGTTATCATAGAAGATGGCCGCTCTGTGCACCTTACTGCCCCTGGATGACTTTTCAGTCAGCTAAGATGTGGAACTGTAAAACAGTGACATTGATGATCCTGACCCTTCGGAGGCCTCTGCTAATGTGTGTTTGTGTCCTAGTTTTTAACAAAAGAGTTTACGAAGTAAACAAAATAAATTTAAAAATATAAAAAAGCTTATAGAAATAAGATAGAAAGAAAAGATATTTTTATTTAAGGATACAATGTTTATGTTTTAAGCTAAGATATTACAAAAGAGTCAAAAGTTTAAAATATTAAAAAGCTTATAAAGTAAAAATGTTACAGGGCTTTGCATCATGCAGTGGAAATCGTCAGGATGTTGATGATAAGATCCCTGTTCCGAACCTCCTTCCTATGTGTCCTGCCCTGGGGCTTTTGTGCTCCATGTGTCAGGGCTAAGGACTCTGCAGCCAGCTTCTCCCAACCCGGCAGCATGGGCCTGGATAAGAACACAGTGCATAACCAAGAGCATATCATGGAGCATTTAGAGGGTGTCAGGTTGAAATGCCAGGGTCTAGCAGGGACTAGGTGGATGGACAAACAGCTGAAAGAATACTCGGGGGACTGTAGGCAAGAGAAAGATGATTTTATTCAGCAGCAGCGCTCATCAGCAGCTTACTCACATTAGCTCACTTACGTCAGCTCTCTCACACTGTCTGCCCTGTCTTGGCTGCTTGAACGAGCCACTCCCACACGCAGCTGCATGGCTGGCTCTCCCTCGTCTTCAGGGTCAGCAGCTTAACTCTCTTTGGGCACGAGCTTGTTCCTGCCTCCCCACCTGCCCGTCTGCCAGTTGGTCATTCTCCCTTACAGGGGCCAGTAGCTTCACTCTCTCCCTGGGCACCAGCACCTACACAAGAGCCATGTTGAGCTGGGCCCTGTGCACAGCGTCAGCAGGGCAATTATACCTTTTACAGACAATAATGGCTCAGAGCCAAATATGAATGTACACAAACAGGTTATATATAATAAGTGAAGGTATGCACCTGCATGCCAAACTTTCTGAGTCATGGAGGCCTGGATGTCCACCTCAGCCTATTCCTTGACCAAAACACATCCACGTGCCTTACCCTCCATCCCCAGGCTGAGGGAGACATAGGGTTTGGGCACACAGGCCCATACATAGGCTTGATACATTAGCCTGACACATAAGCTTTAGGCATGCAGGCCCAATATACATACACAAGCTTAACACATTAGCCTGACACATAGGCTTTGGGCACACAAGCCCGATACATACATTCACATAGGCTTCAATAAACTGAGCAGCTGTCAGCCCAGATTACCATAGTAGGTACCATAGAAACCTCAGTGATTGCTATTCACACTGCCCTGAGTTCAGCTCATTAGCTTCTCTGTCTACACCTGGTTTCAAACCATATGGTGTCAGTACTAGGCTGGACCACACCAGCAGACCAGGCAGCAGTAACACCCAGCTAGATCTAACTGTGTACCATGCCCTATTAGGAATAGGAGGACACCCTTCCTAACAGCGAAGGCTCAGGGTCTAGAGGTGCCTCAGGCCCCATGGCCTTATCTTGTATTAGGACTACAGGTCTCAAGACCTCTTGCAGCTCTGCTGCTAAGGGACTGGTATTCAGCATACTCCACCGCTCTAAGTAAGTGCCCCCCTTCACTAAAGTGGATGTCTGTGCTGTCCCAGTCTGGGGGGTTGTTACCCATGAACGTACCCATCCTGCTATTGGGTAAGTCATTTGCATGACTGTAACCCATCCAGCCACACTCTTATGAACCTGAAGGGCAGCACATACAGTTACTAACTGCTTCTTTATTAATGAACACTGGGGCTCAGTTCCCTTCCATAGCTGGGACTAAAAGCTTACTGGCACTTCCAAGCGCTCCGAACACTGTTATAGGCCCTAGCCAACACTATTTGTGGTTACATGCACATCTACTTTAAATGGGCACCCCTAGTTAACTACCCACAGGGCTTATGCCTTCAGAAAGGCTGTTTCACCCTCATCATCCAAATCCCTGGCAAGAGGGGTGTTGCTGCTTCCACACCTGCAAAAGAACCAGAGGTTAACACAACATCATCATTAATAAGAAAACATATAATGGGGCTATGCATATAGCCCTGCAGCAACGCAATGAAAGTCCACTGTCGCCCTCCCATGAAGGCAAACTCTTCCTGGCTCTCTGGAGCTATGTGGATTGAGAGGAATGCATTGGTCAAGTCCACCACACAGTGGCACCATCCCCATTCCCTTTTCTTTTTTTTTTTTTGGAGACGGAGTTTCGCTCGTTACCCAGGCTGGAGTGCAATGGCGCGATCTCGGCTCACC